GTTTAATCCTTCAGGAACTTTGTGGTAAATTTAAAAAGAAATTAATCACACGAAAGACACTGAGAAATACATTGGACAATGTAATAGTAATAAATGTCAAGTGGCACATCTGTAGGAGTGATGGCCATATTTGTACTACCCTGCTCTTTGCTCAGAGTTGTCCTGTTTGAATTTTACTTGATTGTTATCAAGTTATTTCTTCTTTGTTGAAGTCACAGATGCCTATGTCCTAGCAAAAACCTGGGGTATAAAGTAACCAGTTATCTGGGAACTAGGTTCTATGCTCAGTATCAGGGCGATGAGTATCAGATGGGTAATAAGTTGGTAATCAGGGTAATAAGATGATTGCTCTCCACTCCGAGGATAAAGACAGCTAGACAAAGGCCCCAATGCAATGCAGGTACTTTGCCACGGCACACCTGGGAGGAGGGCCTCAGGGAGGAGCAGGCAGGCCCAAGATGGAAAGGAATACGTAGTGTTTGGGGTAGCGGGCACTGTCTTGGCAGAGGGAATATTAGCCACAGACCCCACAAGGGTGGGAACCACGGCCTACTCAGGGCTGCCCAGGGCCTGCCAGGCATCAAGGACTAAGTAAGCTCCTGTTGCGCGGTGCACACCTGCAGGGTAAGACAGGGTCAGGCTACTCACCTCAGGGGTCATGCAGAGGATGAGCCTGGGGAGGTAGGTTTTGGCCAGATAGGGAGTCTTCGAATGCAAAGCTAAGAAGTTTGGATTTTTTTTCCTTAGGTAGTGAGGATCAATTGAAGGCTTTAAGGTTCAAATTGGATAAGTTATGACAATACAAATAATAACAGCTAACACTTAGTGGGTACTTGCTATGTGTTTATATTAACTCCTTTAAGTATCACAACAGTCCTATGAGGGAGGCACTATTATTTTCATCCCCATTTTATAGATGAGATAACTGAGGCACAGGAAGGCTGAGTCACTTGCCCAAGGTCACACAGCCAGGAAGTGGCAGAGTGGAAATCTGAACTGAGGTTTGGATCCAGCCCTTTTACCCACTGTATTATTGTGCCTGTTAAATATAAATATTTAGTTAACAGATAACGTGTGTTTTAGATGACATGTAAGGATTTAATAGTTTTAAATAGATCCCAGCCAATTATCAGCAACAGAAGCAGTAATTGATGGTGATTTTGACCACAAAGGGCAACATCCCCAAAGAGTTGAGGCTTAGAAATAGAATGTGCAAGCAATTTAGAGGGTGTGGCTGCTGAGTCCCAGGCCTCAAATTCCACTCATGGGGCTGCTCTTTCCTGCCTCTGACACACTCCAAGATTCCTTAAAGATCCCCTGCCTTCAGCCATCCAAACACAAGAGCCATCCGAATGACTAATGCAGTCTGGACAAATGGGATCATGCCTGCATGCCACCAGGCCCTCAGGCTTTTGTCGTCAGAAACACATGAGCATTTTTATTTCTTGTTTCTGTTCACACCAGGCCGTGGATTTCCAAGGGTGGGGTTTCCAGAGCTTGGGCACCTCTGCACCTTCATCTGGCTTTCATCACTTTCTCTGAACAGCTGAGGATAGGCACTGGGGACAGGCAGCTCGCAGGAAAAATTGTAGTTCCCACATCTCCGTTCTTGGTCTCCTCAAAGCCCTTCTCATGAACCTAGACTCAGATTCAACCCAGACTTCTCCTACACGGTGGCACAGGGCCAGGAAAGGAACTGAGCAAACTAAAGCAGAAACTCCCCCACAAAGCGGTGGTGGTTCTTCCCTTTCCCTGAAGCTCTTGGGCCCGGGTGTGGCACCCACAACCACAAATGAGGCAATTTGAGAACAAGCGCTGACCACTCAGCCAGCATAGAGCCTTAGGCTGCCAAGGGCACCCAAACTCCATGGGGTTCCCATCTGAAGTAGCAGTTCCACCTTCCACAAGAGCACAGGACCAAGAGTCCAGGACCCAGCCCTGCCACTCACTAGCTGTGTATCTTGGGCTCTCTGGAGGCAGCATAATGGAGTCAGGGTGTGTGGGGGTTGGAATTCTTCAGGGGAAGATTTACATCCTCATCCTGGCTCTCTAACTCTCCAGGCAGACGATAGTGAGGAAGAGATGGGATGGACATGGAGCCAAGTCCTGCCTGCTGTCTGACCCTCAGCTGTCACATCCATAAAGCAGAGGTGATGATTCTCACCTCCAAGGGTTAGCAGAGATACATTTGTCAGGTGCCACACAGAAGGTGTTTGGTGTGTCCAGCCCCTGCCCTGTATAAAATGGAAGTGATACCCACTGAGGCTGAAGCTCTTAGGTGGCTGATGAGATCCATCAAGATAGTGAACTGAAAGCCCTAGGTGGAGGGTTCTGGGCAGGTACAAATATAGGGCTGCGGTGATTGTTGGAACGTCACTCACCACAGCCTGTGGTCACCCCACCAAGCACAGCCAACTAAGCCTCTCCCACATCTGAGTTCAGTTTCACTACAAGGCTCAAGGCAGACGCTTCAGAAAGGGGCCCTCGTCTTTTGTGTGTCAAAAAATAAACAGCACTCCATCTCCGCTGATTTCTGCTTGGGAGGTATGTGAGCTTTCTATATCACCTGTCCGCAGACAGGCTGCAGAGGGGTAAATACTAGGGCAGCTGGGGTGGGCTTACAGCCTCTCTCCCTTGCCTCCCGCTTATACTCAAGTATCTATAGAGGTTCTAGCCCCAGACTGGGCCCTTGAGTTACTGGGGCTATGAGAGCCAGCACTTGCTGGTAGGGTTCACCCATCTAGGATGGCTGTCTGGGGACACAGGCAGGGGACTAAATGCAATCTGGAGAGCTTCCCAGAGGGGAGAGCTCCGAAATGAGCCGGAAGAAGAGCCATTGTGTAACCACACCTGGGTGAGTTACTTCCTTGAGCCTCAGTTTCATTATCTGTCAAAGGGGTGAATAATACCTGCATCCAAGGGATGGGTGACAGGCTGAAAATGAGATGGTATAAAGGAACCGACAGGTCCCTAACACTAGCTCATTGCCTAGGGGACATGTTTGGTGAATTGAATTTCCTTTTCAAGGGTCTTTTCCTCTGTTGTCACTTAGTATAACCAATGTCTTATTTTAGAAGAAGTCCAGCTGTAACCCAGTGATAAGAAGCTCTGAAGAAGTCCTTTCTCTCTCTGGGTGTATAATGGGAACTCCTCCATCCAGTGAGAGTGAGGCAGAAGACTCTAGAATTAAAATTCTTCCCAGCACTCTGCCTCCCCAAGGCCTAATGCCCCTTAGGTGTGTTGCCTTTGTCCTTAGGCATTACAAAGTTAGACGCAGGAGAATTCAGAACTTAAAAGCATTTCCCCTCCACTTGTTCTCCTATTCATTTTAACAACTGTTTGTTGAGCACCCACAATTCTCTATGGAACAGGGCAGACAAGATCCCAGGACTAAGGTGAAGATTTAGGAGAAGGGGAGGGAGATAGACCGTAAAGATGTAAAGACAACAACAAATTAGGGTGCTCTCATAGAGAATTTGGGGGGCTACTAAGGATGGTTGGGACATTTGAAGAGGTGGCATTTAAGCTGAGACCTGAAGCCTGAGCTGGCATGGGAGAAGAGATGGGAAAGAATGTTCTAGGTAGAGGGAACAGCAGCTACACAGGTCTTGAGAGGAAGGGAAACTTGGAGAAACTGGGGAAATGAGTGATGGCTAAAGAAGTTGGCCCCTGGGTGAGAGAGGTGGGAGTCAGGAATGGACAGGGCCATGGGGGCCTGGTGAAGGGTTTGGATTTTTTTTTTTTTGAGACGGAGCCTCAAGCTATCCCCCTGGGTAGAGTGCCATGGCATCACACTCACAGCAACCTCCAACTCCTGGGCTCAAGCGAGTCTCCTGCCTCCGCCTCCCAAGCAACTGGGACCACAGGCGCCCGCCACAACGCCCGGCCATTTTTTGGTAGCCATCATCGTTGTTTGGCGGGCCCGGGCTGGGGACTCGAACCCGCCACCTTAGGTGTATGTGGCTGGCGCCCTAGCCGCTTGAGCCACAGGCGCCGAGCCATAAGGGTTTGGATTTTATTCCAGGGACAGCACAGGAGTTTTAAGCAAGGGAGTGGCAAGATCAGAGTTCCATTTTTAAAGGCAGCCCTAGCTGAGGGGGCTGCAAAAGGAGACCTTCAAAACCTGCCACTCTGTCTCTGTGACCTTGGGTGGGCAGTCATCTCACCTCTCTGAGTCTCTTCATTCATATTTGTGAGTGGGAATGAACAGAAACACACTTTGAAAGCTAAAAGGCGCATCCCAATCCAGGGATTCCACACCTTACTAGAAGTGGAGGGTCCATGGGGAAACTGCTGGGTTAGACCTCTCTGGGGTTGGGAAGTAGATAGGAGAGTGCTGGGGCCCAGTCTCCCGTGAGGGTCTGTGAGACCATACTTTCCCACCTAGGGTCACAGGAGAGGCCTCAGCGGCTGGGGGTAGGGGGAGAGGAACTGCTTGAGACTCTGACTCCTGAGATGGGAAGTGGCAGAGAAAAGTCAGGGTCCGGCTTTCTGGCTCTCCCCAAAGCAGTGGTTCTTCATGTGTTGGGGGAAGGCCACACTGGGGGGGGGGGCAAGGTGGGATACCTGCCGGTTTTGTTCCCCCTTTTTTGTCAAGTTTTTCTAGCGACGATAGGGGCGATCTCCCCCTTAAGGCACCCAAGGGCCAAGGGTAGGGGTGTATCTCTTTTGACTGTTCTGGGCCAAATTGGGGACACCTTCCTGATACTTTTGTTATCTGTCATTAGGGACCCCAAGTTTCCTAGAAGGAGCGGTTGCTGTGAGGCTCCTTACTGCCTGCTAAGGAGTTGGAGGGGGCTCTCCAGATCTCTGGGAAAGGAAGGGGTCCCATCTCTCTGGGACTCTTGGGCCTTGGGGGTCATCCCGAGAGAGCCCGATCAGGCCCCGCCCGCGAAGGTGGTGCGAAGCCCGGCCCAGCCCCCGGGGCCCTGCCCAGCGGCGGCGGCGGCAGCAGCAGGAGCGGTGGTGGTGGCGGTGGGACCCGGGTAGCGGCCGCCAAACCAGAGCGAGACCGGTGTCCAGGGCGCAGTATGCGGAGTGTGTGCCCTCTGCCCCTGGTGGCCGCGGTGCTGTCGGCGCTGGGGGTGAGGAGCGGAGCTGCTTCAGCTGGGAGCGGGTAGGGGGCGGGACACCTCTCCCCGCCTCGGGCCGGTGCGTGGGCCGGTCTCGGGTGTCCTGGCCGGGGCGGGGCGGGGTGGCGGAGACGCCGCGCCGGGGCTGGGGCCGCTTCCCCATTCGGGCGCGAGAGCCATGGAGGCGCTGAGAGAGTCCGTTCTGCATTTGGCCTTGCAGATGTCGACCTACAAGCGGGCCACGCTGGACGAGGAGGAGCTGGTGGACTCCCTCTCCGAGGGTGAAGTGTACCCCAACGGCTTGCAGGTACGAGCCCTCCGGCCCACCCCGGCCTTGGCGCCGGCCTGGGCCGGGCATGCGCGCTGCTGCCGCCCCGCCCCCACACTACCAGCCCGGGATGGGACCTGCCACCCGCAGCTGGGCTTGGCGGGAGAACCCTACCTGTAGTAGGAGGGACCCTGAGGCTCTGGGCTCCCCCGATCAGCCCTGGCCATCCCCAGATCTTCCTGACCACCTGCTTCTGGAGCTAAGCCCAGGTGGCAGAACAGAGGCTCTCTCGGACCTAAACTGGTCACGTTCCCTTAAGAGGCAGTCCGTGAATGCCCAGGGACTTGCCCAGGCGCACACAGCCCGTTACTGGCAAAGTCTAAAAACTGTTTTAGTTTTAGTATAGAAAAGCCTGCGTCCTTGGAACCCACCCCTCAGTCTTAGGCAAACCGGGAGAGTCAGTCACCCTATCTGGGAGGCGTTATCCCCTCCATCTTCTTTCTTCCTGGTACCTGAATTCTCTGGGGGATGAGGGGACAGGTTCTCTGCCCCATGTTTCCCTGCCCCTTTTCTGCATGTTCTATAGGCCCAGTCCCCTGCCTTACACCAGGGCCTGTCCTTAGGGGAATCTCATATGCCTACTGCCCCATCTGTCAGAGCAGAGAGCCAGACTGCTCTCCTCTCCCTGGGCACTGCACTGGGACTTTTTCTTTCTTTTTTTCTTTTTTTGCAGTTTTTGGCCGGGGCTGGGTTTGAACTGTGGGGCCGGCGCTCTACTCCTTTGAGCCCCAGGTGCTGCTAGCACTGGGACATTTTTGACTAGCACCTCAGTCCTGGTTGGGTTTGGATCCAGGCAGGTAGGTGGGAAGAGTTGGAAATGTTGTGGAGACCAAAGGTGGCTGTGTGATCTTGCTCCTGAGAAACCAGCATAGAGAGAGGACTGGACACTTCAGTCCAGGAAGATTTCTGCTAGGGAGACCAAGAGAGGTACCAGGGAGTCTTAGGGTGACCTGGTAAAGTGGCATCTGATCACAGCTCATCCTGAGGGCAAGCTTAGTGTGTGTGGGAGCTCAGGCTGCTGAGCACACATCTACTCAGGCACACCCCTCAGAAGCTAGAATAGTATAGCAGCGATAAAGGGAAATAGCATTGATTTGAGTTTTTCCTGCAGGCTGGTTAAATTAGGCCCACGGATATCCAAATTCATGACCCCAAGTGCTCTAACCACTGCCACTGGGATATGGCAACCTGGCCTATACCATCCCACTTAACATCTGAGACAACCCTCAGGGGCTGTAGAAACTGCTTTTTCCATTACAGATAAGGAAACTGAGGCTCTGAGAGGAGAAACAATTCAACTTAGGTCACAGAGCTAGAAATCTGAGAATGACACATCAAACCCAGTCTGCCTGAAACCTCTTCCCTGTGGACCCTTCTTAAGAGCCTAAAGCCAGCAGGAAATTAGATTTCTGGGGCAGGCACTTTTCCCTTCTAAAAAAAAAAAAATCAAAACAGAATCTAATCAGCAATCTTTTTCAGTCTCATCTTCCACAGAAGGTTCTAAATATATCAGCGCAAAAGCATTTCAGAATTCATAACAGAATAATATGCCATGTTGCTGTTATCACAGCAGCCCACTCGGGTATAGCCTTTTTCAGATCAAATAGTATGGGTAGCTGGGTGAGGGCCCCTGGCAGAGCAGGGGGAGTCCCATCTCTGAAGCCAGGAACTCGTGTTTGAATTCTGACTCTGCTCATGACCTCGGGGAAACTACTTAATCTCTGTCAGTTATAATTCCCTCAGCCATAAAATAGGTTAGAGAAAGTGGTTATAATACATACTACAGAGCCTTCTAGGATTATTTTTATGACCTATGAGGTAAGACCTGGTGTGGCTCTTCATCATTACAGATGATGAAAGAGAGAGGCAGGGAGAGGTTAGGGACATTCCTGTGGTCACCTCACTGTCACATGGATTGGGGTTTAGTATACCAAGCTCCCCAATTGGGTACATTTTTCATTTCCCATACAGAAAAAGGCAAAAAAAGTTGCCCAAGGATTTGGGACATGTCTGTGGGTACCCAGCTTGGCTTCTTGGAGCCCCCACAAAAAGTAAATATGAACTGCCAGTGCTTGTTTTAGTAAGAATCAAGCACTCCTCCACCTCAATTTATGAGGCTGAATGTTCTATTAATTTAACATTTCCACTTAGTGTGGGTTTTTTTTTTTTCAATATTGAGGCTTTCTATGCCCATTTGTGGAAAATCATATTGTCAGGTATAAAAACGAATTAAAGAAATAGTAATCCCACTGCTCAAAGTTAATATTTCTAGTTTTGCACCTTTATATGTATGTATATACAGTATTTTTATTATTTATTTATGTACATTTACATAAATAATACATATATATTTATATAACTTATATAAATAATATGCTCACCCTGGAAACAGGTCCATGGTGTCATAGCTCACAGCAACCTCAAACTCCTGGGCTTAAGAGATCCTCTTGCCTCAGCCTCCTGAGTAGCTGGGACTACAGGTGCC